ACTGTTTTAGTGAAATGCGAGAAAGCGCCAGTGTAGTGTTCGCACTAAAAGTCGTGCTGATCAGTTTTGGGTTCTAAATATTTGCTAACCTTCATTTCTTGTTGCTATGAATAGGTACCAGCATGCCTCAATTCGCATGTATGATATTCTCAGGTGGCGCAAAAGACTTCAAAAAGCACCAGCAGTTCCAGCGCTGCACAGTGATCCCTCAAAGTCAGGCACGGACGCCACAACACCTGTCACGGTCGTCACATCAGGGACGGCCGCCACAACATCAGTCACAGCCGTCGAATCAAGCACGGCCGTCATGAAATCGAGCACAGCAGCCACAGCATCAAGCACTGCACCGAGCCAAGTTTCCACCAGCATGCCGCCGACATCAAGTCCTACGTGCCAGCCAACATCCAGTGTTGAAAATCATAGTGTAAGTTTGCAAAAAATAAAAAAAAAAGGTCACAGGCATGGCAAATTTATTGAAGCCTGTTCCCTGCTCATTAATTTAGTTTGAAAACCAGGGGGTTCATGCTCATTTTCTACGTTTTACTTCTTTCACAGCTCTCTGATCCTGCTAATCAGGAAGGAGAGTGGTCCTCGATGGACATTGAAGAGGACCAACTCATCAGAGAGTGCAGCACGGTAAGTAAAGTAATAACAAAAGATAGCCGAACAAAGTTCAAGAGCAGCAAAAGTAAGGAGTGGGCTCACTTTTGGTGCACAGCAGGAGAAAGCTAAAAATGTTGTAGGGTCAATGGCAAAACGTTTCTGGTTACGAGCTTGTTTATTTGGGATTGATTTGGTGACTAAAACTATTCGCGACCTTCATGTTTGTTTCTAAATCATGTTTGTTTCTAAACCCTGAAGGCTGTTAAACCTATTATTGCAGTGTGGGCTGACTGAGTCAAAGATGACCGTTTTCTTTGGTCCCTACACTTCACTTCCCTTCCCTCGTAGCTTGCTTTGTTTTTTGCAGAGGTCTCTGACTCGGGCCATGCAACTTTTAGGCATTGGAAAATAAAAATAGAAACCAGGGTGGGGCATTTGACAGTTGAAGACCTCTACTACTAAATGGCCTGTTTAGCAAAGATGATCTGGCCCCACTCAGCTTGCTGTCTAAACCAGGGCAATGTCTACAATGAAGTGACTGTTAAAATGGAGTGGTTTTATGGTGCCAAACATTTAGTTGTACAAGTGTTCAACTGTACTACAGTAGCCAGGTTCTTCTTAACAATATAGCCAAAATTGTGGGCCAGCCTGCCCCATCTGAACAGGAGCAGCTCAAGGAACCCTGGGAGTTGGGCCTCATGCAAGAACATGCTTTTTCGGGCGAATTTTCTCGTGTGTTTGCCAATAAAGGAAGTCTATTTCACACTAGCTGTTAGTCATATGCGTTTATTAAATCATTATTATATCCAACCTATAGCTTTTCCCTCCTTTCAGCACAAGCGGGGTCCTCCATCATCTCCGCCGATCCACAAGGGGTCCGCGAAACATCGATGGTTGAGAACTACTGGCATAAAGCAAAGCCCAGATGAACTGCCAAGCTTGTGCGGTGTCGACGGCAATATGTTTGCTTCATTGCTTTGCCTACTGCCCACGGTTCGAGACCGGGGGAGTCACGTTACAGTAGAAAACAAAATGCTGATCTTCTTCACAAAAATGAAACTCGGAATATCGTTTAGCGCTGTTGCAACTTTGTTCAGAGTCCACGAGACCACTGCCTACCGTACATTTTATGCTGTGCTCTGCACCTTGACAGAGGTCACTAGAGATGGGATGAGCAAGCCTCCTGTGAGCAACATCAAGCTGGCGCGGCCGCTTTGTTTTTAGGAAGACTCTCCCGAGTACACTCTGATTATAGATTGCACAGAAATAAAAAAGTGAAAGCCGTTTACAACTCCCTGTAACGCCGAATTAGAGCGCAGCTCTTAAGGAGGAGGAGGGAAGGATACCGGGGGGTCACGTGACCTGGGGGGTCACGTGACCTTGGGGGCTCACGTGACCCCCCAGGGGTCACGTTATCAGTGATGATGACGATGATAATGCGGATGCCGGTGACGTCATTAGTGACGATGACGTCATCGGGGGGTCGTGTGACCATAGGGGTCACGTGACCTCGGGGAGGGGGTCACGTGACGATGACAATGCCGCTGATGTCATCAGTGACGTCATCAGTGACGATGTCGATGCGGATACCGATGACGTCATTAGTGACGTCACTGATGACGTCAACAGTGATGACAATGCGGATGTCGGTGACGTCATCAGTGATGATGACGATGCGGATGCCGGTGACGACATCAGTGACGTCACTGATGACGTGAACAGTGATGATGACGATGCTGATGTCGGTGACGTCATCAGTGATGATGACGATGCGGATGACGGTGACGTCATCAGTGACGTCGCTGATGACGTTATCAGTGATGATGACGATGATAATGCGGATGCCGGTGACGTCATCAGTGACGATGACGTCATCGGGGGTCGCGTGACCATAGGGGTCACGTGACCTCGGGGAGGGGGGGTCACGTGACCTTGGGGTGACTTTGGTTACGGCGACGGCGACGCCGCTCAAGCCGGAAACGGGCGCCTAAGAGCTGCGCTCTAAAACGGAGACACCCCCCAACATTAGGCAGCAGCATGTATTGCACTCCTCGTACAAAGGAGGCTACACACTGAAATTCCTTGTTGGAATCATCCCCAATGGAATGGTGGTGTTCAGGTCCAAACCGCACGGTGATCGATGTTTAGACGCATACATCACACTAAACTCTGGATTTTTGAGTGTGCTCAAAAGCGACGATATGGTTCTCGCAGACAAGGGATTTCCTGGCATTCGAGTATTTCTTGCCGACTTGGGGGGTCATCCTTGTAATGCCGCCATTCTCGGCGGGAAGCAATGTTCCATTTACTCAAGAGAAAATTGAAGAGACCTACGCAAAGGCTTCGGTGCGCATTCATGTGAAGAGGATGATTAAAAAAATTAAGCTCTACAACATCCTGAAACACCGAGTTCCCATTTCACTGATACCAGCAATGGGAGATATTTTCCACATGTGCTGCGTTTTGGACAACCTTCAGCCACACATTATCATCTCGCAGCCTGTGAACTAACTTGAGAACCCTTAGGAACCTTTTATTTATTTTTTACCTAACAGTTGCAGATTGAAGACAATTTGTAAAAGATTGATCTCGCAAACAAACAGTTCCTATGTGACAACTACAAAATACACCATTCTGGATCGCATAAATTTGTGCCCACAAAACATCTCGCAAACAGGCATGTTCAAGAAATCGCGAAATATTGAGCTGCTGAATATCTGCTCATTTATAGTATGAGCTTAACTGAGAAGTGCGAGTTATACAAAGGTGTGACTTGCACAAACTTTACATAAAAACGGCCAATTATAGGGAATGGAACTTGTTCGATGCCAAGACCGAAAACCGGCTGTTCTGTGCACCTTGTATCTGGAGAAGTAAATGCGCACTCGTCATAACAGACCATGCCTGCTGTTTTGTACCGCCACTCTGTTAAGTGGAGAGTGCAAAAAAAATAAAAACAGCTTTAACTTTATTATTGGCCACCATATGGCTCTTGCCTGGGTAGTACTACCTATATATTGGGCAAGATTCCAATACGATTTGACCACCAAAATATATTTAAGCAATATGGCAAACTTCCGTGCCTGAAGTGATAGTGCATAGAGCAGGCTCTCATATGCAGTGGGTCTAGTTGTGCATACTTAAATAGAAGCAACTGTCTAGCAAACCTCTAGCTATCCAAATGTGTGCTTATATAAGCATTACTCAGATGAACAGAAATAGCTTATTAACTTCTGTGTTTGTGCACCATGTTTGTGAAAGTTTATAGCTTCAGAGACGCTGTCCTTGCACTAGTAGAGTGGGAGTGCATTGAGGGATTGACTCGGCTCCTGTGCACCACCAAGGTGAGGAAATTTAAGGTGGGCATTTGTCCAGTGCAGCAAGACCACTGACTCGATGTTTGTAACCTAATGAATGAACTAGTGGAAATGCCGCCTGCTTATATGTGTATGCTACAAGTCTCGTGCACCTACATGGCAATTGGGGTTGCATAATGATGGATTGAATGCTATGGAAGAGGCAATTCTGGCTTTCTGTCTCCTTATGGGCATATGGGCTCATTATTTTTATAACGCTGCACGACATTGCTGTGTATGGTTTTAGTTATTGACATTCGGGGATGCACAATGATTTTCTGAATGTTGCAAAAGCGGTAATTTCGGTTTCCTGTCTGCTATTGCGCATATGTGCTCACCATCTCTATAAGCATGCATGAGCTTGCTTTTTGTATGGTGTTTTAGTTACGCATGAAATCTGATAAATATGTAATTTGTGCATCCAATAAATATTATAAAATCAAACTGTTTATGTGATACTCAATGGCTGTAGGTATGCAAATTTCTCCAGCAATCAACACTTGGCAAGGTGTTCACGGCGATAAGTATCTCTCCCGAAATATTGTTTACACAAAACATTGTGTGTCGATTTTATTGGCACTTATAAACAAAAGAACTATTGCAGATTTCGCATTGAATATGAGTTCTCAAGAAGTACCTGTGACAAAAAAGATCCTTGGTGTAGAAGAATAAAAAAATGCTCAATCTTTGAGACAACTCAAAATAAAATCCTTCATATCCACTTGACAGCTATCACAACACTTTTATTTGATTAGTATATTGAGTTTTTTGTTAAACCGACGAAAAGGGAAACCAAGATATATGCAAATGTTTCATGGCCATAATTTGTTTTTACAAAAATAATTATCTAGGTAGAAAAGGTTTAAGAAACTAGATATTTACACCTCAAAAGCTTTAAAAAACAAGGTATTTACCCCCCTCCCCCCAAGAAAAAAAAATCGAGACTTCAGCGAAAATTGGCTTACTTTTGCTTTTTAGATTTGGCTCGTATAAAATAAAGCTTGCATAACCTCATTCTGTCTTGATCCGCATCCTCGGAGTCTAGGACTGAATGAGCTCCTTCAAGTAGTATCTAAAATAGAAGAGCTCGAGCCTGGGGACAGCCTCCGAAAGAAAACCTTCATCCCGCTCGACAAGTATGGTGACATCATGCTTCGACGAGTACACGTAAAAGAAGCGCTGGCTAGTCTTTGTCACGTACATCGCAATTTGTACCCGCGTGTAGTGTGTGTGGCGCTTCTTCAGCATCAGACGCCCCTCTTCATACGCTATGTGCTTGACAAAGCTTTCTTCCTTGCTCGAATCAATAAGAACGTTGTTTTTCCTTGTATAGGGACACTTAATCTCGAGCAGTGTCGTCCCGTCGCTGGTCTTGATTCCGTCGGGGCTGGCACACAGCCATGGCTGCCTCAAGTGCACAATCAAGCCAACCTGGGTTTATATTGGCTGTGACATTAGGGTGATCATGCACACTCACACACACTTTTTTAATAGAACTTTAATAGGCAAAAAAAAGCAACAACTAAAAGTTTGGGACACAAATGTAATAGAAAATGTAGCAGGAAACTGTTCGCCAATAACACTTTCTCCGAGTTTTGCATACAATTTCAATGAAGAAAACTGCTTGGAAAGCACCAAGTAATACTTGTATGTCTGTCATGCAACGATTTGAATCTTACCATAACGAGCACCTCTGCATTCAAAATTTCTTTTGGCTATTAAAATTCGACGTAAACTTTATGGCTCAATGCTGCTGCAAAAGTGAAATAAACTTCACTATGCCTTTTTCAGCTTATGTCAGAGCACAAAAACACTGCAAGCCGGTGTAGCCTGCAAAAGCACAGCGTCGCTGTGTTTATCATTCCTATGTGCGTGTTGCACCTTGCACTTTTTTGTGTTGGTACGGTATGTCACGTAGCCTTTGACTGCTCTGACTTAAGTGCCGTTCACACACTTGCAACCGACTTGTACCGAGATAGACAAGACCAGTTTTGAAGCCTCTTGTGACAGCATAGGACCAGATGCACTGCTGCGGAGCAGGTGCTACGCCGCCGCAAGACGCTTAAAAACTGGTCTTGTCTCCCTCGGTCCTACTCAGTTTCAAGTGTGTGAAAGGCGCTTGATGGTGAAACAGAGCATAGTTGCGCATTTCACTCACCTGTGCAACTAACACACCAACCTTCTTCTCAAATGCTTCTCTGGTTTCACCTTCTGTCTTTCGTCCTAATAAAGATAAACAGGATAAGGATGTCACTCAAAATAAGCATACTACCAAATTTGGGCTTGGTGCATGTGAATACTGTTTAATCATGTTACCATAAGTCACAGACTTCCCAGCGAATGGCTTTCGGTGAAGTAGCTTTTGGGCAAGGGTGTCGAATGGCCGCCTTCGAGCGACGACTCTGTGGGCGATGGAGCTCGACAGCCTGATTTCACGTTCGCTGAACCACCTGGATGTAAAGACCACATTGAAAATTTGATTACTTTGCGCTGTACATATTTATTGCATAATACCAACTTCACAGAACAAAAGGTCGTAACGAGGTCATATGTTTTCATCGAAAAATTAAAACGGACATGCCTTTTCAAGCCTGCCTGAAGCACTGTGTCCACAGCAATGCACTCGGCACCTTGCTGCGTGGACGCCACTTTGGAGGAATACAGTTCTCCCTCGGCTGGCGTCATCTACTCTTCTAGGTTGCAACAGACGAGTCTCAATGCAATGGACGACTCGAAAATTACAGTCCTTGCGTGATAAAGAAGCATGCACTTTTCCCACATCATAATTTTTTCCAGGCGTACAAGCTCTATCTAGTGAAATACTGCACTTAAGACATCCGAGATCACAGATTTCGCCTCCCTTTCAGCAGTGTTCATGGAACTAATTTGTGCCATGTCGTTGTGAGGGCATGCGATTTCTGGAAATTGGTTTAGGACATATGATGGTGGGACTTGATCAGGCCGTGACCCGTCGACAAACAGCTCCTTTATACCTGCGAAGTGCAACTTGTTTAGATACAAATGACATCATGGAACACAACTGGCAGAGAATGCAATTACAGGTACAAATACCAGAATGAAATCTCAGTTTCAGGCCATTAGCAAACAATATGAGGCTTACGTTTAAACAGTTCCTCAATCGACTCTTTTGCATCGATGTTGGGTTTTCGAGATGGGTGTCCCCAAGCCTGTCGCAGTTCTGTTTTGGACAGGGGCTGCTGTTCATTAATCCACAGTGCCATGGCAGCAGCATGCTTGCATGTGCCAGGGTACCCTGCTTTGCAAGTGCACTTCCCATTGTAAATACGACGGTCAGGGACAAGCTGAAATTGAGAGTAAATAGCCAACTGATCAAAACGTACACTGCGCATTTAATAGTTGAAAAAGCATACATGCTCCCTGCAAAACGTAGTGAGCAGATAATTATGAGTTCACCAGCATCGAAAGTCGGCGTATTGAGCATTCTATCGTGACATACATCGAAACGTGTGTCATGCGAATTTTGCGAACAGGAACATGCTATGCTGCCTGACCAGTGGAGCAAACTGATTATTTTTTCTCCTCTAATTTTTTTTATGCATATGAATGCATTTACGTGCCCCAGGTTGGGTACACAACTTCTTTCCGGTATGGGCAGCATTGCCTTTTGTGGCCCTGTACGAAAATCCCCCCCCCCCCCCCCCCCCGAGTACAAATAAAGTACTTTTTTTTTTTATTAAGTGTTTTCCAGCGTGAGATCACCAGTAAAAGCACCGCCTCCAGCGAGAGCTTGCTACCTTCGAAAAAACGATCGTGCGCGCGCACAAAAGCACTACAGAGGGCAACAAGCATGTGCTGAAATCGAAGCTTCTACTGCTGATTTTATTTTGCATCAAGATTACCGCGCAAATACGCAAGAAAGGCTGCGAGAGCTCCAGAAGCAGCGCGCAGTAGGAACGATGTGCTCGGCCAACAGACGGCCGGCCGCCGCTCGATCGCTTGCGTCTGCTTTCGCGCATTTTGGAAGTTGGTCATCAGTTGATCGCTTTATCTGGACAGAGGAACTACGCGTTAACGCGTTAACGTATCTCGTAACGCTCACCTCAAGCTCGACGTCATAAGAAGCTCGCTGTACTTGCGAGTGGCAGCGCGCCGACACCAGACTTGTAGCTTCTTGTACGGCGTACACGTCGCTTGCATCGCTAATTTTTTTTTCTCTTTCCGAAGCTTTGAAGAACGAGAAAATCTTTCTACGTTCGAAATTGGCTCGATTCCGTGCCGCAGAACAATAGCAAGGGGAGAATCCATACCGCCTACTGACGTTTACACGCAGGACAAATTAAAATGCACGGTTTTGTACTAGTCATCTCTATTGAAAGAAACAGCAAAAAATCAAGCTGGTTTAGCTGGTTTTTCAGCTGGTTCGAGCTGGTTCAAGCTGGTTTAGATGGTTATCAAGCTGGTTCGAGCTGGTCAAGCTGGTTCAAGCTGGTTCGAGCTCTCACTGCCGCTGGGCAAGCTGGTACATGAACTGGTTCGATCTGGTACTCAAGCTGGTTCAAGCTTGTCAAGCTGGTTCAAGATGGTCAAGCTTGTTCAAGCTGGTTCGATCTCTCACTGCAGCTGGGCAAGCTGGTTCGAGAGCTGGTTCGATCTGGTACTGAAGCTGGTTCAAGCTTGTCAAGCTGGTTCAAGATGGTCAAGCTGGTTCGAGCTGGTACGTGAGCTGGTTCAAGCTTGTCAAGATGGCTTGAGCTGTTTCTGAATCTGGCCAAGCAGGTTCAAGCTGGTTATGCTGCTCTCGCTGGGAGCGCGCACGCCAAGGTCGGCTAGAGTTTGTCGAACTGGCATTGCTGGGAGTGCGCGCGCCAAGGTCGACTGGGGCGAGTACGAGGCCATGTCCTGTTCTTTGTCCTCACGTTTTCGGTAGACTACCGGGCGCTTCAGGCGCGCTACGAGCTTCCTTTGTGTGCGAGAAAAGGGAGATTGAGAGGGTGGTAGGAACGGAAATTTTCAAATACGTTTGGCTATCTCGGGCAGATTCTCGAAGGGACGGCTGTGTGCGCGTCGTTTGGAGACTACTTGAACGACGGTGGAAGCGAAGCGGGATTTGAGGAGACAGCTAGCGGCAGTTTGTTCAGCGCAGGAAGAAATCGGATGCCCCGACTGAGGCGTCGTTTTGTCTCTTCGAACATTTGTGTGCTCGTGAATGACGGTGGTGCCGAGGAGTATTGCCAATGCCATCCAAGCCACACGGATTTCTTCGCCTCTGCCGACTACGCAAGAGGCCGCTTCGCCCCCATTACTGGCGGGACCCAGTTTCGCTTCTCTCATCCGTGTATTATTCTTTATTGTTATTGGCTATTTTGGCGTGTGTCTAGTATTTTTTTGTGTTCAGAGATTGTTCGTTTTGCACCGAAAACAACTGTCTCTGAGTCGGTTAGTACAATGTTAGCGCAGAGGATGTGTGGCATCTGAGCTCATTTGAGCAAGCCGCGAATACGAAAATAATAAATTTGATGCCGAGCTGGCTTTTCTGAAGAGCTTGGCTTGTTTATCCTGTGTATTAATTTAAACTGGTTAAACTGGTGGGGAAGTCCACCAGCTTACCCAGCATGACCAGTTCATCCAGCATGACCCAGCATGTGCTCATAATTTACCCAGCACCACCCAGCATCCAACCAGCTTGAACAGCACAGCAAGCTAAGCATGCTGGAGCAATAACCCAGCATGAAACTGGGATGCTGGGACCAGCTTGTGCTGGGACCAGCTTGTGCTGAGACCAGCTTGACCACGACAAGCTGGGCATGCTGGTGCAATAACCCAGCTTTAAGCTGCGATGCTGGGTCCAGCTTGTGCTGGTGTTTTCAATAGGGATCACACACAGACAGCAAAAACGACAGACACACATCATGAGGTAAGTTGGTTTAACAGTCTCTTTTGCCTAATCTTTGTCAGCGTGATAAGTATAGTGAAGTGTTTAAGTGCAATATAGAGTAACAGTTGCTCTAATGGTTGCTTTAACAGATTCTGAATCGGATGGGCCAACAAAAAACCCCAGTGACTCCGGATCTCCGAGCGGCAAAGGATCTGATGTATATCGCCCATCGGCAGATCAACCCGCTAATCCTGGGATCGATATTCATGTCAAGGGAACACCCCGGATGCTATCAAGCAGCACCTTTAAGCCAACCGGAACTCCAAAAGGATCAACACTTGTAATGACGAGATTCACCAGTAACGTCATTACAATTGGACCTTCTGCGTTTACTACACTTAAAACATCTAGACTTTTGGAATCCACGATTCAAAGCACCTCTACAACAACACGTGAGTGAAAAGGCACAGAGATACGATTTTGATTCTTGCACCGCTAGGAATAGCTTCCCGCGTTTATTGTTTTGGCGATAGAAAGAAAAGTTCTCAGAGCAGCCGAGTAATTGTTATTGAGCACGGTGGCACTCACCCTCCTTTGTGACATATGCATATACTATATATATATATATATATATATATATATATATAAAGAAAGAGAGCGAGAGATAGAAAAACAAAACGTAGCGCAGGATGTCGAAAAGTTAAACTTCGTTACTTTCAACGAAGTTGCAGATGTAGACATGTTATATTTTAGAAAGGCATCGCTGGAAGGACATGGCACACAAAACTCCAGACTGGGCAAATTTACGGCGCACCCGTCATAACGATAATACGAAGCTTCAACCCAAAAGGCCTATTAGCAATAAGGTCAACACATTTTAGATACTTAAAGAAGAGGACACGTAGATTTTTCGGCTTGCTAAATTGAGGAGAAAGGTTGATCCGTCAAACTGTGGCCGTAGCAATCCTATCAAGAAACTACGATAATAATTGATTATTTAATGTCCATTCCTCGTCAAGATATGAGTACAATTATTGCCTTACCTTAACGTTGACATATATATATATATATATATATGCCAAATTAAGGTCAGGCAATATTCGTACTCGTATCTTGACGAGGAATGGACATTAAATAATCATCTATTATCGTGGTTTCTTTATAGGATTTCTACGGCCACAGTTTGACGGATCAACCTTCCTTCTTAATTTACCATGCCAAAAAATCTACGTGTCCTCTCGTATAAATATTTAAAATGTGTTTTCCTTATTGTTAATAGGCCTTTTGAGTTGTAGCGTTGTATTATCGTCATGACGGGGACGCCGTAAATTTGCCTAGTCTGGAGTTTCGTGAGCCATGTCCTTCCATTGATGTCTTTCTAAAATACAACTTGTCTACATCTGTAACTTCGTTGGAACTAGACATTGTGGGTATGCCGTGCCTCATTTGATTTGATAGCATTCTTGTCCCTTATATTTTATGAGATTCAACCAGTCTAGCAAATGTTCCCTTATTTAAAGCTCTCAAACTGTCAACATATTATTCGTGAGAAGCGTAATTGCAGCGGTAATCAATAATTTGGTAAATTTACTGCCTGAAAATAATTTATTACATTGCTAGATCACCAGCCAACAACAAAAAAAATATTTTACAACATTCATAACCGCGAATACGAATTTAACCCCGATAATCTCGTTAGAGTAATGCTAGAATAGGTTACCCTCACCCTCACCGTCGTTCCTCTCACAACCCCGTCAACTGAGGCTAGGACATATGCTACGCACTGTTTTTCTCCTTCCAGGGTTTCTAAGTAGGGGATAAGCAATAC